GCTGGGGGTGGAGAGCAGCCAGGTTGGGAGCTAATGTGGGAGAGGAGCGTCATTTGGTAAACACAGAGCGGACTCCTTGTGGCTGTGTTCCTGGTGTGAGGAAGGACAGGGAGTAGCTTCCAGAGAGAAAAAGCTCCAGCACCTCTAGACTCACTTGGACTGAAAATTGATTTTAAGAAAGCAGTGTTGATATTTTCTTTCTTCTCTGACCACTGTGTGTGATGGGTAGGTTGTGTACTGCACAAGTTTTTCCAGTTAAGAAAGCAAATAGTAGGTGAAATCCCTTCCACACCTTGCTCCTCAAGCACCTACCCTGGCCCACAGACTCTTCCACAGAGGGCTACTAGTGCTTCTTGCAGGCTTTGTGTGCTGTAGGGTTGCTGTTGTGACAACTCACCTCTGCTGATGCAGAGCAAAAGCAGCCAGAGACAGAGTGTATGAGTGTGGCTGTGTCCCAATAAGCCTTTATTTACAGATAGCCTGTGGGCTGGGTTTGGTTTGAAGGATACAGCTTCCGAACTCCTGCTTCATGTCATTCATCCGGAGGTGCTTCATAGGCAAGTGAAAGCACTGATTTCCTCCTTCCTCTGTCCCTTCCCTTTCTTTCAAACGAGCACTGCTTCCTGAAGTACTGACTTGACATTCAAGAGTGCTTGGAGACCCCATGAAATTGTGCCCCATAAAAGGTCATCTCCTGGGGGAGTGGGGAATGGCTGGGTTGAACAGGACCAGAGGTGGAGAAAGAACACGTACCCAGTTGCCAGTCTTGGGGAAGTGTCTGTCTTCTGTGCCTTGGTTAGTGTGGCCTGGGCGGCTTACAGAGTGCTCTGTCCACCCCATCCTGCCCACCCGTGAGGTGCTGCAGGACACAGAGATGTGGGGGCACAGCAGTTGGCCTTGGTTTCAGAGGGTCCATCTGTGTGTCACACACAGGGCCCGAGACTCAGCCCCTGCCTCTGGCATCGGGGTCCATGTGGCTTTGACTGATTCTTCTTGCTATCTGGCCAGGGACAACAAGAGGTGAAAGGGGTGGCGGATCCCATCCCTGTGGACCAAGAGGATGGATTCCAGTCCCACCACCCATCTGTGCCCAGCCCGTGCTGGGAGGCGCCTCTGGCAGTTCACTGCCACACTGCCCTGTGTGTCTGGGAAGTGACGAGGGTCCCACTGGGGAAGACAGGATGATCCGGCCTGTGCTGATCTTTGGAGGAGGCATATGAGGGGTGGGGCAGGGGTGCTACTTCCTGGGCAAGGGGAAAGGAGGGGGCAGGAAAGGACTGCATCTGCCCAGTGCACAGCCGGGGAGGGGTGGCCCTGTGAAGGAGAGAACAGGGACAGAGGTTCCTTGTCTGTGGGTTTCATCAAGTGGAACATGAAAGGCAACATTGAACCTGAAGGTGCTTTTCTGATAACTTCCCTTTGAACTTGAAGTTTGGCTTCGATAAGCTTGGCTGGCTTGTGTCTCCAGCCAGGACCTCGCAGAGGAAGGCAGCAGCTTTGAAGATGGAACTAGGCTTTGTTTTTCTTTCTTCTTTTTCTTTTTCTTCTTTTACCTCATCTAAGAGGAGTGAATAGAATATGTTTGAGGCCATGTTATCTCCATGGTTTCTCCGTGGGGTTTCCCTGAGGTACTAGCGATCATTTAGATCTGGGTTATCAGCCGGTACCATGGCTCGGCTTGGCAGCATTTGCTGAGCACTCACTGTGTGCTGGCCACTGCTGAATGGGCAGCTTCTTCGTTGCCTTCTCCTAGCAGCTCTGTGAGGGACATACCATTGTATCCTGTAGATGAGGGGATCAGGTCCAGAGATGTCAAAGCCTTGCTCACAGCTGCCCAGGCCAGTCAGTGGCCAAGTCAGAAGACAGAAGCCCCAAGTGTGCCTGCTCAGTGATGACACTCCCGTCAGCCCGGCTCTACCTGCAGGAGATGCTGGCGGCTTCTAGAACCAAGGGCTCCACTTCACGCTGGGGATGGAGCAAGCGCCTATTCCCTGCCTCTTTGGAGTGACGGGAATATCACTGGACTTGTGGCTTGGTGGAAGTGGCTGTACCCTGTCTGGATTCATGGTGGTGGCAGCTCTGGCCCAGCAGGGTTCCAAGTAGATTTAGGGTAGAGCAGTCAGAGTGGCCCAGGCTGTGTTCTTGACTGCCCTCAGGTTCCTGGCTAATCATTCACCTGACCCCCACCCCACCCCAGGACTGGGGAACCTCTGGAGTGAGATGCTTACTTTGCAGGCGCGGAGTTGGGGGAACACCTCTGTGTTACAGATGGTATCAGAGCAGACAGCATCAGGGAGCTGCCCCAGTAGCCATTCCTGTGGAAGGATTCCAGGGCCCTGTCCCCCAGCCCTTCCAGCGAGGTTTCCTTTCTGAGGAATCCCAGTCTTTCAAGTTTGTGTTTCACTTGTATCATTCTGTGCCTGCTACCAGGGTAGGCCCTGGTCAGCACCAGGATAGGCCCTGAGAGCTGGCAGGTGCTCCCGACTGCTTTAGGGAGTGTCGCTTTGCTGCGTGGTTGCAGAGGAACAGAGGTATCCTGTGTGCTGCTGGCTGTGGCAGGGGCAGAGAGCCTGGCTGTCTGGGGAGGGACCTCTGGATGGAGCGGTCGCCTCCTGTCCCCACCCTGTCTGTGCTGGGAAGCTGGAGCACCCTTATCTTTAGTCCCTCCTCCTTCCTCTGCTCCCTATCCAGCTGGCTGTATTTGATACAATGCTCTGTGTCCACTTGACTGCAGAAGCCTCTGTTTCGAGAAGCCAAATGTCTCAACCCCTGAAAGAGTCCCAGGGCGCGGCTTTCAATGCCCTGTTTTTCCTTGTGGCCAGGACCCTGTATACTGGCCTTGGCTCATAGCCCTTTGCAGTCATACCTCATTGAGTCCACACAAGATTCCCCTGGGAAGAGACTCAGCATCCTCTTCATACCATGGGGAAATTAAACTGAGGCATCTAGATCAGGTTCAGGACCTGCTCAGGGTTATGGTGCTGAACACCAGCCAAGACTAGTTCCTTAGAAAGAGGCCAGTGGAGAGAGGCATGGGTCCCCTGAGTGAAGCCTGGAAGGGCTTGGAGGGCCATTAGCAAGGTGATAGTGAGCATGATTCATGCTGCTTTGGTTTATATCCCATCCTTGTCTTTTGTTGGCAAAGCCTCTCTGCACCTCACAGGGTCACAGTGATTGCCTCACAGGGGCACGCTGAGGACACTGAGTGCTTGGTTAGTGTTGTAGGGGTGGCGGCACTGTAGATACACAGGGGAACCAGGATTTGCAGGGCACCGTGGGGAGTGCTGCAGATCACTGTGTTGGGAAACCTTCAGCCTGCCAGAGGGGCCAAGCAGGAGCACAGCAGCCTGATCCCACAGAGCTCCTGCTGCATCTTCCGTGACTGATGGTCTGTACAGCTGGGTGTGTGAGCATAGGGGCTCGGGGTGTGTGCAAAGCCCCTGCCCAGCTTCCTGGCCTGACACGTCATTTCTCCGGGCTCCAGACTGCCTGGGAAAGTCCTCCTGGCCTTCCTGTCTACCAGGAACATCTCAGCTCCGTGTGTGACTCCTTGTATGGCCCTCATAACAGTTCAGCCATCCTCAAGTCAGAATGGTGGGGGAGGTCCCTGGAGCAGGAGCACGCTCGGCTTTCTTATCTGGGAGGCAGGATGACAAATATCACTGCTGTGGGGCAGCAGAGGGGCTCTGCCGAGGGGAGCTGTGAGCATGCTCTAAGAAAGCGGCCCCCAGCAAGGCCAAGGCCCTCCTGTCTGCGTGTGAGCCAAGTCACCTCTGCAGCTGAGCCGTGGGTAACAGTTTTGGTTTGTTTTTTTTTTTAACTAAAACTTCAGTATTCAGATTTACTTGCAGTGTTGGGACTTTGTGATAAATAAAGAGGGTTTGTGGGTGCAGTTTAGTACTTGGTCTCTAAAAGGTTCACCACCTTGGTCTTGTAGACAGTGGGGCTACACAGAGCATTTCCAGAACCTCTTGGAAATGGTGCCATTGTGAAACCTCATGTGAAAATGGTGTCAGTAGGTCATGGGTTTCACACCTCCCTCTGCTCCTGGAAGGACCTTTGCAGAGGGGAGGTAAGCAGAGGCCCAGGATGAGCACGCTCCCCAAAGATGCTGTGTACATGTGCACATCGGCCTGGGTGAGCTGTTTCTGTCCCTCTTCATGTCTACTCATTAAGGTGCTGTATGCTGGGCCCAGGCAGGGCCATCTTTGAAGAGATCAGAATGTCAGCACAGAAGGCAGTGGGACTGCAGGAGATGCCTTGGCCCCCACACTCCCTCTCTGGGCTCAAGTAGCTTCCTTGTGCCCTCATCCACCTGCTGCATGGCTTGATCTTCCTGAGCAGTCAGGTGCCTCTGCAGAGCACTGGCATCACAGGCTGGTTGTTCAGGCTGCAGAGCTGGAGCAGAGAGCAGGGGTCCATTGGGGTAACCTAAGAGATGCGTGTGGATGTGTCAGGAAGCTGTGTTAGCTTTGCATTGCTGTGACAAAATACCTGAGGTAAACAACTCAAAGGAAAAAGGTTTTATTTTGGTTCCTGCCTTCAGAGGCTTCAGTCCATGGTCACTTGGCTCCCTAGTTCTGGGCCTGTGTTGAGCCAGAGTATCATGACAGGGAGCATGTGGTGAAGCAGAGCCGCTCACTTCGTGGCAGACAGGAGGCAGAGGACAGAGAAAAGGGGCAGGAGACAACACGTACTCCTTAACTAGGCCTCGCCTCCTAATAGCACATCTTTGAGATTAGTGCCCTCACAATGCAGTCGACTCTCTAGGACCCACCGCTGCCCATGATTGCATTCAGGTCAAACCATAGCAGAGGGTCTCCCTGGGGCAGGCCTGGGCTATTATGGGGCAGAGAGCAGAGGGAATTCGATGCCAGCCGATGGGCAGGGCAGGAGTGGTGAGGATGTCCACACACCAGGCCCTGGGGACAAAGTCACAGCAGTGCCGCCCCTGGACCCCCCTTGACACGTGTCCTCACTAACACTTCTCACCCATGCAGTGGCCCTGCCGCCTGAGAAGACGGACGGCCTGGGCAGTGGGGATGAGAAGAGGATGGACAAAGCCAGCGATGCTTGCCCGGCCTCCAAGAAGCAGCTGAAATTTGAAGTAAGTTTCCTTTCCTGGAGCTGGTCCCCGAGGACACAAGGTGGATTCTCTTGTCTGTGGTGCTCAACCAGGAGGAAGCTCCCAGATGGGAGGACCCCTCTCCTGCATAAACAGAGGCTCCTCCTACAGCACTGGGGGCCCCTGAGGCCAAGCACAGGCTGTGAGGACTCAGCACTGTCCAGCCTTCTCAGTTCGGCACTGGCCGCTCCAGAGCATCTGGCTGAGCGGTGACCCAGGACCCCTGAGGAGGGTAGAGTGGACGAAGGGAAACAGGACCCCCGTCCTGCTGTAGCTGTCACCTGTCTGGCCTCAGTTTCCTTGGTGAAGCATCCCAGCTCCAGAGGCTGAATGGGACAAGTGGGCCCTATTAGATGGGGTAGGTGACCATGTGGCAGGAGGTCCTGGGTAGGTCTCTGACCAGCCATGCCTCCATTTTCCCATGTGATCAACATAAGGGATGTGGCCTCCCAGAGCTTATCATCTGGTCAACCCGTCCTTGGCCAACCTGAACAGCGGACTAAGCTCCTACTGTGTCCTGAGCACAGTCAGGTGCTGAGAGCCAGGCCCAGGGGCCTGCAGGGAGCCTGGTGGGAGCTCTCTACCCTCCCCACTTTCCTTCCTGAGGCATAGGTCATAGCTCTGAAGTCAGTACAGCAGCTGCGACTTTGGGGCCAGTCCCTCAGTGTCTGCCTCACTCCCTGCTCGGATAGAGTGCTACAGAGGCTTGCAGTATGGCCAGCAAGGCCAGTGTCCACGGCACTGCAGAGAACCGAGCACAGGTCCTGCACTCATAGAGCAAGTGGTGAGGGGGACAGAGGAGTGACCCAGGCCCAGCACCTGCACAGTGACAAGATCGGGACCTGTGAGCAGGGAGGTAGTCAGCACGTCAGGAGGGGGCAGAGTGCAGGGTGATGGACACTGTGGCAGTTCTGACTACAGTGCCAGGGAGGGCACCACTGCAGGCAAGGACTGGGCAGGCAGCATGAGAATGGAGCACAAGAGCAGAAGTTGGGGGGCACAGGGAGCCTTTGGGACAGGAGGGCGCCCAGGCAGGGGGAGCAGCGGGGGCAAAGGCTGGAGCTGGCTCGTGGCGGTCGTGGCAGCAGGTGGCCTGGGAATCTCAGCCTGCATGGGGGAGGGGCGTGGGAAAGAGGGCAAGGCCTCCGTGAGGGCCCCACCTGCAGGAGCTGAGGCAGAATAGCCAGTGTCTAGTGGAGGGTAGTGGAGGGCCTAGGGATTCCCGAATTCTCTGGAGCCCAACCCTGTGCTGAGCTCACTCAGGTCCCACAGGATCTTCTGGGAGTCTGGCAGAGCCTGCCAAGCCCAGCAGAGCGAAGGCTGGGTCCAGGCAGCTGGCCCTGGAAACCCCATTGTGCCTGTTCATAGATGGCTGGCCAAGTCCTGGGGCAAAGCCAGGCCGGGGTTGGGGGGAGATGCTGGAGAAGCCAAGTGGGTAGAGTGGGGGCTAAGGAGACCCACAGCGACAGGGATGGGGAGAGTCACTTTGTGTTCTGAACTTCAAACCCAAGCCATCTTAAACACTCTCTGTGAGTGTGTGGGGGTATGTATGGGGGTGCTTAGAGTGTGCGTGTAGGGGTGCGTGTGCGTAAGGGCACATGTATAGGGGCGTATGTATGGGAGTGTGTCTGGGAGGCGTGTAGACTGGGTGTAGGGTTGTGTGCGTGGGCGGGTGCATATAAGGCGTGCACGTAGATATGTGCAGGCATGTGTTTGCGGAACACATGGAACATCTCCTCAGCGAGCAGAGCAGGCACTTGGCACATATCAGAAGGGCCTGTCACAACTGAGGGAATCGGGCTTTGAATTCAGCGTGGGTCACCTGAGAGCTGCCAATGTGAACCAGCTCGAAGCTGCAGAAGCCTGGGGCAGGGACACCGTGCTCTGCACACTCCCACCGCCCCTCGGGGGCTTGTCTTGCCCTCTGGAGCCTGAACAGCCCGTGTGCTGGGCGAGCCAGGGCGCCTGCTTCTCTGTGGCAGAAAGGGAGGGGTGAGGCAACTCAGGGAACAGACTGGTCTGGGAACATCCAATCTCGTGCAGTGTTTGGGGGTCTTGAACCTCTTTCCTCAAATGACCATCCTGCCCTCTTGACATCTCTGTGAGGTGCTCAGCGAACCTCTGAGTACAAGCTTAGGGGATGAGCACTCACTTCCAGTGCAGATTTCCGGATTAGACAACACTGGTTGCTGTGAATAATGATAATGAAATTACTGCTGGATTAGCAGGCTTTTCTGTGCCCCAGATAGTATGCCTGGCTCTCGGCATATGTAGACCATGCTTCTTGTCTCTGGTTCCCCCAGCATGAGCCGTTAGACAAGGGCATGGTGCGCATGTCCTTGGGAGGGTCCCAGGGAGCAGGTGCCAGGGGCAGGAGGGGAGGGATGCCAGTAAAGGGCAGGTTGGCGTGGGTTACTGAGACACTGGCAGGAGGGTCCTCCAAGGAGCCCTACAAAATGTGCCTAGCTTTGTTCCATGGAGGGCTCCCTAAGGAGACTTGGCATTTGGTCACTGACTCCTGTCCTACCCATCCCAGGTGCCTCTGGGCTTTCAGTCAATGGCTCTTGGGAGCTGCCCTTGGGCAGAGAAGCAGGGTGCCTGAGGTGGGAGGTTGGGATGTGCCTACCCCAGCAGCAGGGAAACTCCCTGAAGGAGGACATTTAATTTTGCCCCAAACTTTATTGAGAAGAGACTGTCATTTTCTGTAATTCATACAAAGGGAAACTGAGGCACTAAGAAACCTGCTCAGGGCACCACAGCTCTGGAAGGCTGAGCAGGGGCGGGACCCAGGTGGACTCTGGACTCTCAGCTTTCTGTGCCCATTCCCCTGCCTTCAGTTTGGTGTGTCACCACCCTGGCTTCCTAGGTTGCTGCCCCCTGTTGCCCTCCGGGTAAGCCTTCTGGCCCTTGATCCGGGTGAGCCTTCCTGGGCTCCAGAGCCTCCTCTCCGGCCCCTGTGAGTCCTTTGCCTCTGATGACCAGAGCCTGCAGGGGCCCGAGGGCCTCTTCCCCTGGCTGCTTATATCTTGGTCACTGGACTCCTCCCTCCTCCAGGTCTGGCAGGGCAGAGGGCAGGGGCTGCCCCGTGGCCTGGCCGTTGGTCAGTTTTTCAGCCGATGGGTGACTGGCCATGCCTCTGTGTGTGTGTCCAGGAGCTACAGTGTGATGTGTCCGTGGAGGAGGACAGCCGGCAGGAGTGGACCTTCACCCTGTATGACTTTGACAACAATGGCAAGGTCACCCGTGAGGTGAGTACACCTGATTGGCCTCCTGCCCTGTGCCAGGGCCTCAGGCACCGGCAGCCAGGTCAGCACTGTTGTCCCTTGGGCCTGCTTCTGGGAAGGCTGTTGCATTGAGGGACAGCGTTAGAGACGTACGGGGGTGTCCTGGAGCTCTGCGACCGGGGAGGGGTGCAAGAAGGGGCCGCCGGCTCTGCTCCGTTGGGCAGTGCTTGGCAAGGAGAGGGCTGGGCTGCACAGAGCCCCGGTGCAGTCTCACCTGCATCCCTGTCTTGCACTTCCTCTTCTAAAGTAGGGCCTGGGTACAGAGACCCCGCGGCCCCTCCTGCCACTGGCGCAGGAGCAAGCACTCTCACGCTGCGGGTCCCACAGGGGCTTCTCAGTCACAGCTGCCGTCATGGCCTCACCCCAGCCCAGTCCTCCTCCTCCTGGGCCCTCTGCATGGCTGCGTCTCTCTTCCCCTTGAAGTCCTCTCCCACAGCTTGTTTCCTTCTCACCTCTTCTCCATGCCTTTGTCTTGGCAAATTGAGCACCTACTATGGACCAGGCTCAAGGACACAAAAGCAACAGACATGGTTCATCAGATGTCAGATGCAGGAGACAGAAGACAATTCTAGGGTAACCATAAGCTTCGATGTGCTTGGTGAAGGAAGTGGCCAGGGTGGCATGAGAGAGACTGGTGGCGTGTCCTGGGAGGCTTCTTGGAGGAGGCGGCCTAGCACCCGAGCTGAGCCATGCAGCATGCAGAGCTGGCGAGCAGCTGCTTAGAGAGCAGAGGGAGGTGGTGTGTGGCCACTTTGCAGCAGTGCCATGGCTGTGGTAGTGCCAGTCCTCTGGGCTTTGGAAGCCTGGCAAGCGACCTGGAGTTGATGGCAGATGCCAGGGGAAGTCGCAGAGTTTCGGGATTCCTGTGCTCCCGTGTCTCCTCCTGTCACCATCTGGCATTCTCTCCCGACCCCAGGGGGCCCTCGTGCAGCAGTGAGACCTGCCACAGATCTAGAGGAAGAGCTGCGCAGAGGTCTGTGATCATCGTCCTGCATTTGGACCTCCAGGTGTCCCAGAGACCTCAGAGCTTTGCTGTCATCTCTTTGCCCTGGGCCAGGACCAGTATTTGCCTCTCTGTGATTAGTGCAGGGTGCTGTCTTTACACTACCAGAGGAGAGACCCAGGTTCTAAAAGCCACCTTCTCCTCAGGCCATAGCTTAGGGGACATTAGAACAGGTCAGAGGAGGAAGCTGCAACTGGTGACCATTTGGGATTCTTTCATGTAAGCGCCAGAACCCCAGCTCAGCTGCAGTAACCATGACAGAAAGGAGTACACTGGCTCATGTACCTGCACCTCAGTCCAGGGCACTGACGTCTTGTATGGCTGGGTCCAGAGGCTGAGTGTCCAACACCTCAGGACCAGGTGTTCTTCATGGCTCTTTCTTTTCCGGTCCCTTTTCATCAGGCAGCCCCTCCCCTTGGCAGTAGCAAGATGATTGCTGCCAGTTTTAACCTGTGTCTCACCCTCCCACCAACTCCCACACTCAGAAGGGCACCTTACCACCTGCGACCAAATCTCACCAGCTCCTCAGCCTGGCCGGGCTTCTCAGGGTGCGGTGGCATCTCCGTTCCTTGTGACGTGTGCAATGGTGACAATGACTCAGCTCCTCATTGCTGCCTTCTTCATGCCTTCCTGGATCCAAAGATGCGGAGGAGCCTTGTGTGTGTGTGTGTGTGTGTGTGTGTGTGTGTGTGTGTGTGGGCGCGAGCGCCCGTGCGCGCGCGCGTGTGTGTGTCCCGCCTCAAAGACCTTGTGGAGACCTGTGGACTGATGCTGCTTGCAGATTTTGTACCCTGCATCCTCCTTAATTGCGCTGGTGATGAAAGCAAAGAAGGAAGGCTTTCGAAGGGAGGTGGCCCAGCCTGGCTCTGGAGCAAGTGCTTTCTGGATTGTGTTTTCCTCTCACAGAGAGCCAGGAGGTTGGCTTGGCATCCTGGAGGACCCAGCCCAGGTATCCCCTGGTCTGTTTTTAGCCCCACAGCCACTTCTCAAGTCTGGCTGTAAATACTGTTCCCTCCATCTCTGCTGGCTATGAGCAGGCAGGGCTGTGTGCCGTGACAGGTAGGCTCCCACCTAACTGCATCAGTGGCCGAGGGCTGGTGTCTAGGCCGAATCTCCCACTCAGTTCATCCTTCCAGGGTTCATTTATACAGGAAGTACTTCTGATCTCGCGTGTTCACTTTCTGTTACCTAACAAATACCAGAGAAAGCCAATTTACAAAAAAAATTTTATTGTGGCTCACAGTTTGGTTTGACCTTGTTGCTTTTGAGCTTGTGGTGAGGTAGCACGTCGCAGCAAGAGTGTGTAGCAGAGCAAAACTGTTCACCTAATGGCCAGGAAGTGAAAGAGAGAGGAAGAGCCTAGGGTCCCACAGTCCCCTTTGGGTTATGGCCCCTACTGACCTGAAGACCTTCCATGACACCCCTCTTCTTCAAGGCTCTACCATCTTCCAGCAGGGCCACCCCAGGGCCAACTCTTTACCATGTGAACTTTTGTGGGAATATTTAAGATGTAAACTGTAGCAGCAGCTGCTCCCATGTGCCTGGCCTTCTGCAGTCCGTGGGGTTGGTTTTCACACAGGAATTACCAAAGCATGCCTGTCAGTTGGTCCTGAATGGGCAGGGCCTGCTAAAATCACAGAGCAGGAGCCCAGACCTTCTAAGGTGTATGACACTTAGGGGACGCTGTTGGTGGAACCCAGTTGCCCATCTGTCTGATGTTACTTCCTTCGTGGGCATCCAAGATGGTGAGCGTGGGCAGTGTGGCTATGCAGAGCTCCAGGGAAGGAAAAGAAGAAAACAGGAGTTTCCAGGCCTTGCCAGAATAGCAGGGATGGTCAGGCCAGGAGTGGGCAAGTGACTGGAGCCTGAGTTTCAAACTGGTGGCCTCCACAATCCAATCTGGCCCCCAAGTGTTCTGGTCTGGTCCCCCCGGGGGGGTTGTTAAGATTTAAATTAGATGTCAATATCAGTGGTTCTGAAAATTTCACAGAAGATTCTGAATTTCTGGCTTCTCTGAGCTAACCCTCAGCCTGCAGTCAGAGGACAATCAGCTGAGCTGTGTGGCCAGCAGGTGCCCAGCAACCCCCACCCCTGAGCCGCCTAGCCATGGCAAAGGGGGTTGCCTCTGCTCCTCAGCTCAGGAGATAAACGCTTAGTCTGAGCCCAGGAAGAATTGCCGAAAACCATCCATGGACCTGGTGGAGAGAGAGACAATATCTTTTTCAGAAGTTTCAATGTCACTTAAACTAGGAAGCTGCCCCTCAGATCAGTGACCTGAACAGATCCTTAGAACCAAGAGAGGCCGAGTGCCAGGACCTATATCCCCAGTCAGAAGACTATGCGACGCCTCGTGGAGAGGGACTGCAGACCCCTGCTCTGGTGTGGGGGTCACTGAGGCCCCAGAGCAGGTGAGACACAGCAAGTTTCTCACAGACCAGCTTATCCTGAGACTGACCTAGGCAGCTCAGCTGCGAGAGCAGAGTTCTTCTCAGGGTTCTGGAGGCTGGCTTCCCAGGTGGGCACAGCCGCAGATTTGCTTCCTGGCGAGGGCTCCCTTCCCAGCTGGCAGATGGTTGCCTTCTCTGGTGCCTTGTGGAGCGGGAGGGAGCTGTGGTATCTCTTCTCTTTTTTATCAGGCCACCAGCCCGATGAGAGGAAGGCCCACCTCTGTGGCTCACTGAACCTGAATTACTTCCTCCCTCCAGCCACAGCCAGCTTATGACCTCAGCATAAGCATTTGGGAAGGGGTGCAACTCCGGCCATAGCAGAGACACATCTGCTTTTCCAGTTCTCACTCAGGAGGTGCTCGCTAGACCTGCTGGTGCCTCACCCCAAGTCTCTGGGTCAATCACTGAGTCTACCTATTGCCACGATGGACAGTGACCCCCATAAGCCCTTTCTGGTTCGGAGAGCCGGCTCAGCCCCTGGAAGTACAGGGGTGTGGCATCCCCATGCTGCTCTCTGCTAGTGAGGGTTGGGCTGATTTGGAAACGCTCCACATCTGATGAGGCTGCTGAGGCAGGTTCCACATTGGCCCTCAGAGGGCCCCAGTGATGCTGAGCTCCCAGTGAGTGACACCCATGGCCATAACCTGATCTCTTGAGCTTTCCCTCTTTCCTCCCCTGCTCCCACACCCCTGCTTCCTGGGATCTCCTCCCAAATAAACTCCCACATCCGAGTCTTTGCTTCAAGCTCTGCTCTAGGACAGAGCGGCATCTGAATGGAGCATTGGTCAGAGCCTGTGTGCTGTGTTAGAAATGCTCTGTGGCTGAAGCTCAGGGTGGGCTTCCTCCTCATCCCCTGTGCAGGACATCACCAGCTTGCTGCATACCATCTATGAGGTGGTCGACTCCTCTGTGAACCACTCCCCGACGTCCAGCAAGACGCTGAGGGTGAAGCTCACCGTGGCCCCGGATGGGAGCCAGAGCAAGAGGAGCGCCCTTCTCAACCAGGCTGGTGAGGGCTGTGGGCTCTAGGTGGTGCCCCTCGCACTGCATGTCCCTGTCTCAAGAAGGGCCGAAGCCTCCCTGGGAGGTCGGTGGGCCCTAGGGCTTCTGTGGGCCACTGCTTTGTCTCCAAGATGTCAGCAGGCCCCTGGAGAAATAGGGCAGGCCAGCAGCAGGGAGGTGGGCATGGGGGTGGCCAGCAGCCACAGTACAGTCTTGTGTTTTGGGGAGGGAGGGGGGCTGGAAGGCCAGCTATGGATGCAAGGGTTGATAAGTAGATGGGAGCAGGCGGCTCACTGGTGATTCTTGTGCTTGTTGGGCGGAGCTCAGACTTGCAGAGTGTGAGGCCCAGAGCGGAGACCAAGCCTGCTGAGGAGCTTCGAAGCTGGGAGAAGAAGCAGCGAGCCCCCCTCAGGTACGGCAGGCATGGGCAAGGGTGGTGGCCTGGTACCTGCAAGCACGTACTGAACGCTAGCTGTGTCCTTGCTTCTGAAGGATGCTGAGCAGGAGGCTCCACCTGGGATCACTGATTTCAGATTCACAGATTCATAAATCAGTTTTCAAAAATAACCAGTTGTAGGTTCCCATCCCATCAGCTGGCTGTGATCTGGATTCATTTGCTGGGTGATCCTGGTGCACTTGTTCTGCATTACAGTGGGGTCTGGGCAGCAAGAGACCATCATAGGGTGTTTCTGCTGAGGATGTGTGCATATTCGTCTAGTGAGACAAAGAGCTTGGGCCAGTGGTACGCATGCTGTTTTTCTCTTAAGACAAAAACTGTTAATGTATGAGTTTTTTTTTCTCTAAACGACAACTTTAATTGCAGTGTTGGTATTGACACTTTGCAGTAAATAAGTGGGTTTGGGTTACAGTTCAGGCACTCATTTCTGAAGGTTCACCATCACTGCCCTAGACATCCCCTTTCCACTAAGGTGCCTTGGCTACCCAGCAGTTATCAAAGTCCTTTGTTTTCAGGCTTTGGGGTTTCAGAGTTGAGGTAAGAGCTTGTGAGGTATCAAGTACCTGTCACCTCTTACCACTTTGCCTGCTGGGGACAGGGGAGGCCCATTTAAAGGGAAGGCACTGAGAGATTGGGGAACACGCTGCAGCAAGTTTGGGGCTGTGTTCACCCCAGTGAGCAAGCAGGGTTAGGCAAGCAGCGAGGAAGCCACTGGGTCTAGGCAGGGACGGAGCTCAGAGTGGGTGGGCAGAGGTCTCTGTGCTGGCTGAAGATTGGAGCAGTGCTGAGGCATGTGGGAGGAAGTCAAGGAGGTCGCAGAGATCGTGGATGTTATTGAAGAGGCTAAGGGGGTCCCGAGTCCTTCAGGAGAAAAGGAGCGCGCGCGCGCGCGCACACACACACACACACACACACACACACACACACACAGAGCAAGGGCCTGTATGGGGCTTTGGGGAATATCATGGAGCCTGCCAGCCTCAATTCCAACTGTTTAAGGTTTTCTACTGCCCACCCTCCCTAGGGAGCTAGGCCACAGGTAGGCTGCCTGCCTATGGTGGGCGCATGTGGTTTGAAGCCTGGTTTTTGAGCATCCTTACATTTTGACCAGTAAGTCATCATCTTTGCTTTGGGTCTGTTCAGAGCGAAGTTCCTGTTCAGTCCTCTCAGAAGTGCCAGGGAGGCCAGGCGGCGGGCTGTGAGCGGGTTGTGTCTTCATGGGCAGGGAGAAATAGAATAGACTGAAAGGATGCTTATTCCTCCTCCACTGCCCTCCCGAGACCTAAAACGGAATGGAGGCCACGCCTTTGCCCTGGTGGCGTTCAGGCAGCCTGCAGGGCTGCCCCACTTGGTGGCCAGGCCTGTCCCGCTCACTTGCCTTCCCCGCCACAGGTTCCAGGGCGACAGCCGTCTGGAGCAGTCTGGCTGCTACCACCACTGCGTGGATGAGAACATCGAGAGGAGAAACCACTACTTAGACCTTGCGGGGATAGAAAACTACACATCCCAGTTTGGGCCTGGTAAGGGAGCCCACCTGGGGTCAGCTGGGAGGGCTAGGGCGGGACAGGCTGGACTAGCTGTGCCTGGTGTGGTAACCCTTCCGCTGGGCTGGGTGGAGGTGTGGCTTTTATCTAGCAGGGTAGAGACTCTACTTCGAGGAGGTGACATTTTAAAACGAAAGTAATACTTGCACAGTAATGAACAAAATCAAATAGTACTCACGAGCTTGGGATATAATGAAAACCAGCAGTTCCCCAGCGCCGCCTACCCCACCCAACTCTGTTCCCAAGGTGGCCACTCTGACCTCGCGCAGCTGTTGCCTCCAGGGAAACCTGCTGTCAGCCTGCCACGTCCATGGACTCTTGCTAAACCCCACTCCCTCCCCGCTCCGTCCCCTCCCATGTTTAGTTCTCTAGTAGAGTTCCTTTTGCTCACAGACCTTAGTTATCAGCAAGTCTACCTGTGTCTCTCTTTCTCAGCTCTCTCAGAGAATCATTTTTGAAGACCTACCACAGAGCTACCCATTCTCCTTGTTAGCAGACAGGAAGGCAAGGTCCATCCCAGAGAGCTTTCCTCCAAGGCAGCGAGGAAGTCACATTGGGGCGGAGCTCTGACAGAGTGCAGCTGGTGTTATCAGTCCGGTTGAACTGGGGGCAGGGTGACTCGTGCAGTTCAGATCCAGCGCACAGAAGATGCTCATTAAATGTCTGTCGACTTGGTTCCTAGGTTCCCCTTCAATGGCCCAGAAGTCAGAACTGCCCCCCCGCACCTCCAACCCCACTCGATCTCGCTCCCACGAGCCGGAAGCCATCCACATCCTACACCGGAAGCCCCAAGGTGCGGACCCAGGCTCCTTCCACTTCCTGGACACCCCGTTCGCCAAGGTCTCGGAGCTCCAGCAGCGGCTCCGGGGCACCCAGGACGGGAGCAAGCACTTTGTGAGGTCCCCCAAGGCCCAGGGCAAGAGCATGGGTGTGGGCCATGTGGCCAGAGGGGCCAGAAGCAAACCCCCTCTGGCACCTGCCGTCCCTGCCGTGCCCCCCTCTGCCCACCTGGCTGGCAGCCCTGCCCTTCTCCCCAGCCTGGCACCCCTCGGGCACAAGAAGCACAAGCACCGAGCCAAGGAGAACCAGCCGAGCTGCCGGGGCCTGCAGGCACCACTGGCCACTGGGAGCACCGTCTTGGGACGGGAGCAGGTGAGGGAGCTGCCTGCCATGGTGGTGTACGAGAGCCAGGCCGGGCAGGCGGTCCAGAGACACGAGCACCACCACCACCACGAACATCACCACCATTACCACCACTTCTACCAGACCTAGAGCCTCCCCAGGGCCTTCCGCCATATGAAGGACCCTCCCCGACGCCCCAAGGCATTATTATTCTATTAATTATTGTTATTATGATTATTGTTATTAATAATTATTGTTACTCCACTAATATTTAGCTAGCCTTCATGTAGGAGATATATGGAAACATAGAACTAAACTTTAATTTATATGTTGTGGGGACTGTGTAACTTACCTGAGAAGTGACTCTGGGGTGGGACTGCAGCCACAGGAGCCCTCGGCCCCAACTCTGCCCTCCAGTCTCTTCCAGGAGAGCCCTTTCCCCCTGCTCCGCTTCAAGGCCCTCAGAATCTCCAGTAAGACAAACAGCTGCTACCTCTTAGTTACTCTGATTCAGTTTTGCCCTTAACTGATTGCATTGCGCTCCCAGGGATTTCAGCGGACTGCAGATGTGCGAACTCCTTGGTGTTGTTTTTATGTCCAAACTCAGAACCTTAGCTGTCCTTTCTGGAGTCACCTCTCATGCCTTTCCAGTGGGATCATGCTCTTGCCTCAAACCAGCGTCATCTTTTTTGCCATGCGCAACGCAAAAATATACTTCTCCTCCTTCCCCTCTTTCTCCTCTCTTTCTTCAAAGATGCATACTTCGTTAAGGACTGTCCCTGTAACCATCCTTCTCATGTGGGAAACCGCTAGGGAAAACCAACTACATAAACAAGCGGGTTCTCCAAGCTCAAGCAATTGTGTGGTGTTGGTTGGGACAAGGTGTGTGGAAACATGGCGTTTTAACATCAGCAGATACGTACCTATGTGGTTTTGACAGCTTCCTGTGCTTTAGGTAGCTGCCGCTGTCTGTGTCTGTACCTTTTCATAAATCTGCTCTCAGCTCTGCTGATGTGCAGGAGCAGTGGGCTGTTTCTCTGGGTTTTTCCTGAGCCCAGGTGTGACTTTGTGTGCTTGCTGATGTCCATCAAATGCAAACAGCTTCTTGCCTCTCCTCAGAGGACCTTTCTCAGGGCTTGGGGTCTGCAGATTGTGGAGAGACCTACCAGGGTGTGGAAGCTCAGAGGGAAATGGGGACGGTGGCTAGAGTTGGAATCCTGAGGACCCGCCCTCCAAAGAGTAGGGTTTCATCTGGCCAGGACCTGAGGAGACCAGGAAAAAGACTACTGTCCACCAGTTTGGGTTTCTCCATAAAATAGATCCCATACTCAAACTGAGTGATTTGAGGAGAGCTGAATAAAGAGGTTATTGCCAAAGGACTGCAGAACCTCAGGGCTGGTCCTGTGGTGGGCTACTCCCACCCCGGGCCTGAGGCGAGCCATCTTCCAGATAGGGCTGGGTGTGGGGACACCGGAAGGAGCCGTGATCTTTGCTCAAGGGATGCACCCAGCTCTGGGGACCCTCCAGGGAGACAAACATCCTGACCCTTCTCCGCTCTCTGTCCTAGTGAGACGACATTGGCTGGAGACGCTGGGAGGCAGGGGGCCAGGAAGCTTGGCAGTGTGGGTCTTGAGAGCGGACATTGAATCTGGACATCAGCTGCCCACCCTTTCTGCTGCTCTGCCTCATGACTGGGACCCTTGAGTTAGATTAATGTAGATAGCAGATAGTTATTTCTGAAGGTAGTGAGCTTGAGTTGTTACCATATTCTGTGGGCTACATTAATACAGTCCTCAAAACATCCCTACAGGGCAGGCCCTGGAAGCTCAGGGAGTGCATCTGTAGCTCAGAGAGGTTAAGGCATTCTTTTGAGACCACACAGGAGGTAGCAGTGCTGGGAGTCTAGTCTCCCGGAGGACCCCTTACCGCTGTGTGGCCACTGGGTTTGGGCCTCCCTGTTCAGTCAGGATCCACCACAAGTGAGGTAAACATAAGCACAGCAGCAAAGGAGGGAGCTGGCTGTGAGGTGACGGGATCCAGGTGTGAATGAAGGTGGACGTGGTTTTGTCTTTTCCTCTCTGGACTGGCCGCATCAGGGGCCCTGGCAGTGGCATTCTGGATCCCACACCAGAAGGGAAGGCTCTTCCACGAGAGACAAGCCCTGCAAAGATAAGGACTGGCTAAGGCCATCCCCGGATCAGTCACCATGACCTGTCCGGGCTCACACATCCACTGGTGGCAACACCAGCATCCAGGGAGGGGTGAGAGCAGACAGGAATTAGTGGTCCGAGGCCCAGAGGGACAGGGCCTGCTGCTGTCGGAGGGGCCAGCCTCTGCGAGGCTGCTTCCTCTGCCCCACACCTGTCAGGATTCTCTCATTTCTTGCTAACTGGGATGTCCTCAGCTTCTAAAAATCATTTATAAAGTAGTAATGTATACATGTGAGAGATTTCAGTGTGCCCAGTAAAAGTGAACTTGCCTCTGTCCCCGCCCACCAGTGTCCTGAAGCTGGCTTCCTGGGGCCTCCTGGGCGTTGCAGGTGTGGTGTGGTGGTTGGGTGCACAGCCACTGGTGCGTGGGTTAAAGGCCCGGCACCTGCTCCACAGCTGTGCCTCAGTTTCCACTTGGCAAGCACCACTGAAGTGTTAGCTGTCCTTTGTTCCTAAAATAAAAACATTTATGTACAATATCTCCCCATATAAACTTTGTAATTTCAAGACATTCCCAACACAAAATTTGAAACAGAAAATTGTATGATAGTAACCGAGCACACCCCCAGAATTTACAAATGCTCATATTTTGCGGCATTAATTTTAGATCTATTTTTAAGAAAGAAATCCCTGCAGTTACTGCTTAATCCCCTGCCCACCCCACCCTTTTATTTTTACTCAAGGAACAGCATAGTATTCATACTTGTGCCCTTTTTCTCTGCAACCTAATATATCTGGAGATCTTACCCCTCGGTCATTGAGCTCGGCGCCCTTCTCCTAACAGCTGTTCTGCCTTCTCTTGCTTAGAGGCACTGTCCCCTCCTGCAGGCCTGTGAGTCATCTCTCGTCCCAGGCTGTGACAGACACACTGTATTTGAGGGCCCTTGTGTATGTCTTGCCTCAGTGTCCACCGGCAAGAGCACTGGTGACAGAAGGTGTCAACACAACAGCCGAGTTCAAGAGCAGTGTGACTTCCATGTTGATGCTGTTGTAAGTGACCTCCAGATGTGGTTGTATGAAATAATTAGGAATTGAAGGAATAAGAAAGAAGACAGAAGGGAGGGAGAAAGGGGAGGGAAGGAGGGAGAGCAGAGAAGAAGGGGAGCCAGGGGAGGTTTGAGCGCAGCTCCTGCAGGCCGCTGTGGGTGAGAAGTATGATCTTGTTTGCGAAGCTGACCCCCATTGCCGAGGACAGGTGTTGCTTCTGACCCCTGAACTCAGCATGGGGGTCCCTGGGGCCTGGAGAAGTTGTAGGAAGCATGACTTGCTGGCCACGGGCACACACGTGGCATTAGCGGGCCGGCTGCAGCACTGCCCATCTCTGCTGATGCGTCACTGGGTGCTGAGGACACTTGGTGTGCTTAAGGAGACCCCCGGCAGCCAGGGCCTGCTTTCCTCTCCCAGGGAGCCAGGGAGCGGGGCTCGTGTACAACATGCCAGTTATACTTTCTGGCCAAGCAAGCAGCCAGGAGAAGTTGGGGGGGGGCGGGGGGGGGATTCCCTCCTTTCTCAGCAGTCAGATCCCAAATCATTACTGCGCCAGAGGGGAGGCGGTCTCAGAGGTGGGAGGACGATGGGGCCATCTCAGTGCTGGATCTGTTGGGAGCCGCAACAATCACCCCACTGCTGTGAGGCCTGTCTGTACTCTGGGACCCTGAAATGCGCTTAGGCTGAAAACGCCCACCCAACACCCTCAGCTCCTCCTGGAAGATGGAGCTTCTGGCCCCACCCGGCCCCAGGGCAGCTTGCTGTCCATGCAGCCTCACCCAGCCCTCCTGCCCCTGCCTCCACTTCCCCAGGCATGCACAGGGCTGAGTTTTACAGAGTGAACACAGATGGTTCAGCCACCAGCTTACTGACTCCGAAAAACCATGCCCGGGGACCCTTTCCAAGGCCTCAAACTGTATCACATCCCATAGTCACACCCTTTGGGCAGTCTGGTCTGGGTCTTGGTCCTGTCATCTCTCACAGCAGCAGACCTTTGAACCTAAGCCCTCTTCTCAGGGCCACCACCTCTGAGTGACTTTCCTAACAGCAGAGGGCTTCCTAGACCTTGCCTCTTCCTCCAGCATGGGGAGGGACATGAGCTTGAGCCACCTTAGCAGCGAAAGTCCTGTGGAGGGACTGGCAGAGCCCGGCACTGGTACACGTCCCCATCCAGCTCACTGTGTAGACAGGGTCCTCCGCCCCTTGCCTTCTCCCACACAGCAGAACAATCCTGGTACTACTAACCTATGACCCTGACAGAGACAAGAGAATCCCTCCTCTACCTGTGACCTCCAGGCCAGGCTTTGACCTCGGCCAGCCTTTTGGCACGGGTAGAGGTGGGCAGAGCCAGGTAGGGTGCAGGGAGGGTGCTTTTGATGCAATCCTCACTCCCAGCAAAAGCCGCTGCAGTTAGGCCCAGAGACCACACACGGTCTGCACCTTGGCACAAGCAGGGTGGTAGCCCAGCGGCTGCCACAAGGAGGGTGAGCGCTAACTGGTGTGGGAGGCAGACCCCTGCCCCTCCTGGGGATCCAAATACTTCCTGGGCATTGGAGCAAGTGGCCATGACTGCCACAGGACAAGACTGGAGGGTTCTATAGCACGCCCCCGCCCTTATGCTAAAGTCACAGCTCCCCAGGAGAGCCAGATTTACTGAGACTGGCTGTCCTCCAGGTGGTCCGAGTGAGCCCTGGTGCAGGAACCAGTCTCTGCCCTCCTGTTGCTGAAGATCAAGACCTAGCACTAGGGAGATAGGAGCAAACTCTTGAAAACCTCCCTCCCCTGCCTTCACCCGTGTCCTCGGGGCCCTGGGCCAGGGCAGCCTTGGGCAGTGGGCCGGGAGCAGAGCAGTGGTCCTGCCTTGCCGCGGAGCCAGCTCCGTTCCAAACTGTGGGGTCCTGCCCTGCCACCATGAGGGGTTGCTGTGGGGGCACGAGTGAGGGCCGCTCCTCAGCTCCCCACAGCGGGGAGAAGTATGTGAGGAGGGGATTAGGGTCTTAGGAGAAAGACTAAGGTACAAGGTTCCTTGAGGAACTGCCAAGGCCCCGGAACAAGCCTCAGAAGTCCAGGACGCCCTGGCTGTCACTCAGACAAACAGAGAAGGACCAAGCCTTAAAGTCCCCCGAGCGTGGAAAGAATTAGCCCTCCCCCACCTGAACTGTCACCTCCACCTGCACCACCAAAGCCATTCTTGCCTAGGCATCTCTTCTGGCAGGGTTCTGGATGCCTCCATCAAAGCTGGGGGCTTCTCCTTTCTCGACAAGGCCTCGCTTCCCAGAGCTGGTTCCCAGGCAGAGGGGGCAGGTGGTGGGAGGATTGGACCCCTGGTTCTGGTGTTGCCTTTCTTCTGGTCCGCCAGGTCCCTGCAGGCAGGGGCTTCTCCTGAGGCAGTGCTGTTTCCTTAGAGCATGGCACATAGTAGGCAGTTAATAAATGGAAGCCAGGGGAAGCGAGGTAGGAGGGAGGGGGTGGAAGAGTTCACACCCTTGACTGCCCATGCGTGGCATCCTCCTGCCTGTGTGTTCTTGACTTTGGGGTTTTCCAAAGCAGGAACATTCCCAATAAAAGTTTGGGAAAGGAACACATTGCCAAGTTTTAATTTCGCTAAGGGTGTTAATAACCACCAAAAAAAAAAAAAAAAAAAAAAAAAAAAGAGTAGGAGGGAAAAACCCTGTAGTCTTGTATTATTTAGAGAATTTTTTTTTTTTTTTTAAAGGAAAGCCATAGTATAGTTTAGCTTTATTTGAAAGGAAAATATCTTCACTGTGTTTTCTTAGGTTTTCCCCCTGGAAACCAATGAAAGCTTTGATCAAATGTTGATTGTGGTTTTGAGCAACTTGTTGTGGTAGGGCAAGAATTTCTCCCTTTGTAGAGATCGGAGAACTAAGACTCCAGGCGGGAGTGTGTGGTCCAGATGGACACTTGTCCCCGAAGCTGAGCCCAGAGCAGCTCATAGGCCTCTTCCAGCCGGTGGCCTCTGCTGCCTGCCGAAGGCCGTCCGGGGAGGGAACGTCCTCGGCCTCCTCCGTTGTGCCAGTCCGGTGGTGCCCAGCACAGGGCAAGTCCTGTCCCGAGCCACAGAGCCTGAGAAGCTGCAGGGTCTGGGACTCTGCCCCTCCTCCCACTCCCGGCCTGTGCCTGGCTGCCTCTGGGAGTCAGCTCTCTGAGTGTCAGCGCCGTACCTAGCATTTCCCACTGGGTAAGGTTTGACCCACTGTGGTTCCAGTCATTTTGAATGAATTTCCAAAATCTGGAGGTTTCACCTAAAAATCTAGATTTGAGGCTTTTCGTGTAAAAACCAGAAAATGGGATCACATTTTCTGATCAGGCTCTTGTTTCCACATGGCAGAAATCTGCAGGAGCCAAGAAGTGGCCACCCCACTGGACGGCACGCACCCCTTCCACCTGGCCCTGCGACCCCAGCCTCCCTCTCCTTGGGAGTCGGCTGTGCAGGTTAAAGCGGCCTGTTGAAGGGAGACTTTTAGGGGGAGAAGGACTAATGGGTGTTGCAGACACAGGAGGCCTTTGGAGGAGGCCCCGGGGCAGCCCGGAGTCCCTCGCTCACAGCACAGCCCCCTTTCTCCTGCCCCACACCCCACAGAGTGCCAAAGTGGGTAGACAGCTCCAGCTCCAGAGACTCACTGGTTCCCTCTGGCTGTGCAGTGGCCTCACCTCTCCGCCTCTGTTTGCTTCTCTGTGAAGTGGGCCTATGGAGGCCTGTGCGACTTCAGCAAGGCAGGAAACGTGAGAGGAAAGTCTTCCCCTCGGAGCTGTGAATGAAAGGCACCAGCCTCAGCTCTCTTGGAGTGGGAGCAGGAAGGCTGCCAATCTGAAGGTATTCCGGGTAGGCAGCAAGGGACCCAGCCCTGCCCTGTGCACCCCAGGCGTTGGTGACAGCTCCTGCAGACACAGGAGGATGTGGCTCTAAATTTGCTGGACCTGACTTGCCAGATCCTGCACGTTTGGATTGATGGACAGTGTTTCGGAAGGTGGCAGGAACCAGGAGCCAGACCATAGTATGCAGGCTTAGGGCCTGATTAGGGTGGGTGGGATGGCCCATGGTTGACAGTTGGGACTTTAGACCCTAGTTCTGCTATTTACCAGCTGTGACATTGGATACAGGGCCGGACTTCTCTGTGCCTTACTTTCCTCCCTGTAACACAGCTAATCAGAGTAGCCACCTCCCAGAGCCGATGTGAGGACTGGATCCAGTGTTCATGGAGCATCTGCCACATAGCCCAGCACACAGCAGACTGTCAATGGCAGCTGCTGTTGGGGGACTGTGCCCCCAGGGCACCTGGGAAAGGAGATGTCCTCCTGAGGGATGGAGGGTTCCCTGCCCCATCCGGCTTCAGCTGCCCCGCATGCCCTATCGCCTCCCTGCTCGGGGCCACCCACCTCCCCCGTTGCTCTTCCCTCCCAAGCTCCATGGGTCACTTCCTTCCTCTAGACTGGATTGGAGGTGTGGACTTGGCAAGTTCCCATCTTCTCCTAGGCCCTCAATCCTGCATTTGTACATGAGACCATCCCCAGCTTGGAGTCTGTCCCTGTGAGCTACTGCTCTGAGCCTGAAAGGGCAGTGGTGGGGACCACTGCCTCAAGCCTCCTCCTTTGCGGGAGGGGAGGCCCTTGGAACCCTCTTTGGCCACCTCTCTTCTGGAATTATCCTTGCCCTCAAGGCCCCTGGCCCAAGCCTGAGCCCCAAGATTGCTGAGGAGTCTAAATCACTGAATGTCCCCACTTACGGAGCACCTACTGTGTGCTCAGCCAGTGTTGCTGATATCCTCAGAACAGTGCTGTGAGGAAACCCACGAGGAAGCTGAGTTACAGTCCAGACAAGCAATTACCAAACCCGTGGTTCATGCACGGCAGAGCTAAACACAGAGCGTGACACCTGTCCAAGGGACAAGCCGTTAGCCACTGGGCTCAGGCTTGCAAGGAGCCCGTGGGCGTTGACAAAGACCAGCCAAAGCTAGTCTTGCTCCCCAGGCCACCAAGTCCAGCACCACATGAAGGAGCAGAGGCCCAGGAGACGGTGCCGGCCTGGCCGCCGCCCGGGTTCTCACGGTGCCTGGGGGTCCCCGGCACTCCCTGTGTTGGCCATGTTTGTGTCCACGCCTGTGTTTCTCCACCTCAGTGGTTATGTTCCCTAAACTCACCTTGAACACTGAGTTCGTTAGCAAACACCAAGCCCCTGCTTCCAAGGGAGATTTGGGGTGACATTCCTACCGGCCTCTGGTCTCAGCCCTGTCATTAGCCAGATTCCTGTTTTGCGTGTCGCTGTGTTAGAGTCACCTCATTCAGTGGACACTGTCCCATTCGCATTGAGCCTGGCCAATGGCATTGTCCCACGAGCCCGAACGAAGTGTATGGCGCCCGCGTAGTTTCTCCGTCAGGCACATCACAGCCTCCTGCGCTCAAGGACACCGAACGGCCCTTTCGCATGAGGCAGCGAAAGCTCCAGCACAAAGCCCGGTGGCATTAAATAGACCGTGAAAATGACATTTGTTTGCAAGAGGCGCGCTGGAACGAGAAAGCCGAGATGGCCTTGTTCAACCTCATCTGGGAACGTGCAGCCCAGCGACTCGAATTCCTGCTGCTCTGCGTCGGTCCGTGAACAACCGCAGAAACACCGCAAACACGGGTTTCGGAGTCAGAGATAAATCTGAGCAAGCGGGCGAATTCACAAGAGCAGCCCTGCGAATAATGAGGATCCACCGCGTGGCCTTGTGCTGCCTCTGATGATTCGGTTTCCCCCCGAGCACTGTCTTGTTCAACCAAGGGCTGGGCGAGGAGAGCTGCTTGCGAGACGCCTGCTGCGCAGCTGAAGTGCGCACACCCCCGGCTCCCCGCGCATGGCCCGCAGCCAGGCACAGCATGTGGCCCGCTGTCACACACAGGGCATCTTTGGTGGCTGGGTTTGTAAATACAGACGGCAGCGGAGCCTCCCTCCCGTGGGATCCCGGTGCTCTGGAGGGAAGTGGTTCTGCCGGCAGGCAGGGACGGCGGCATTTGCACAGACAGAGAACGGAGGCGCTGGGGGCCTGCGGGGCTGGGGGATGCCGAAGAAAGGGGGGACAGCGGGCTCTCAGCACCAGGGTGCGGGGGCCCTGGTGACCTCGAGTGGCTCAGGTTCCCCAGCCAGATCCTCTCCAGATGGAGCGGGGCCCCTGGCCATCTTAGCCAAGGTTACCTGATTCCATTTCCTCTGACTCTGTCCTCAGAAACAGCATCTGATTGTGATTTGGTTCAGAAACTGGCCAAAATATTTCACTGTGACCTTTCTTTCTTCCCTTCCTCTCTCCTCCTCTCTTCCTCCATCCCTCCTTCCTCTCATTTCCTTCTTTTTTCCTTCTGGAGAAAGAATGTGACATTGGAGTGTTTTTCTGTGCCGTTAGATTGTAGCAAGGCTGTCTTCTGGTGTGTGATTACCCTTACTTTGGGCAAGATGTGGGCAAAGTAAAAATGGCCCAAGTTTGGCACTCACTGTTCAGAGGGAGCGTGCACTGGCCTTGCTGGCCTTTCCCTGGGCCACACCCACCCTAACCACCTATCTGCAGGGTCATTTGTCCTGCCATATTTTCCAGTGTTTGGTGGTCAACTACTATGGGCCAGAAGCCATGCTCAGCCCTAAGCCAAACATCTCTAGGCACTAAGCACTAAGTACATCTCTAAGTATCTTTGTGGAGCTTGCAGGCTAGCGGGGTGACAGCTGTCACACAGAAGTGACAGTGTTTTACATGCTGATAGCTTCTGGGAGACACAAGAGGGAACAGAGAAGATGTGATTGAACAGAGAGACACAAGAAGGGAGCTCTCCAAGGCACACATAGAAGGTTGAGGAGTTGGCTAGATGGAAAGCTAGAAGGGACAGCTTGTGCAAAGGCCCTGAGGTGGCAGGGGGTGGGCTTTGGATTAACTGATGGAGGCCAGCACGGCTGAGCACAGGCAGCAAGGAAGATGCCCCAGGTGGGCAGGGCCTGGAGGTACAGGGGACATCTCACTCATCACCCTGACAGGCACCAAAAAATTGGAAAACCAGCAAGGGGACAGTGAGATGTGACACTCTGGCCCTGACATAGAGAAGAATTGGAAACGGGCTTGGAAGGGGGACTCTTACTGTAGGATGCAGTGGACTCACCCAGTAGAAGTTGGTGGTAACCTCCACCCCTTGAGAGCCTTCGGGAGCCACTTACTTGCCCAGACCTGGGACCAGCACTACCTTCTCTGCTGCTGAGTGGCATCTTCTCAAGAGGGGAAGGAACAAAGAGCAAAGTGGGAAGGAGAGAGCGCAGGGACAGGGAAGCTGGGGAGGAAGAAGCCTCCATCTCGCCTCTGGTAATTGCTGAACTGGCGCTCGCTTGGAAGACAGAACAGGAGCAGCTGACTTCTGTCCCTCTGCCGGGAGAGGGGAAGGAAGGGAGGCATGATATTGACTTAAATGGGGGGGATTTAAAAGGCCCCTATGTTCCCACTTTGTGCAGTGCTTCTCACAGACAGCGCGGGACCTTTGAAGTCGGCCTGGCCCAGTGGGGAGCGGGCTTCCGCGGAGACAAGATGCTAACGGAGGCGG